AACAGGCCAATTTAAGACCCTAGGCAAGATTTCAGGAGGCACTTCTTGTGCAATATACCAAATCTCTTTTCCAGTTTACATCTAATTACATACCAAATTATATAATTTTGTCTTTGGTTTTAATTTTAGAAAGCAAGTTGTCTAATTAAAATAGAAAGAATTTCCTCTAAAAAAATCTGTTTTCAAGTCATTTGAAGAGCATTTTACTACATTCTTGGGATTAATAAAACAGAAAATCAGTTTCATTATGAACATATTCTATATTCAAATCACAGTGCTTAGTGTCTTTTATTTATCATATGAAGTGTTTCAGAAATAAAACATGTTCACAGCTTACAGAGAGTTTTACCCGCAAGTATTTAATACCCAACAGTAAACACGTCAAGTCTTAGTCAAACAAAATTGTAAGAATAAGTAGTTTATAACTACATCCTTGGCTAAAACTCGGTGTAGAAAAAAAAACTTCAGAAGTTTAAAAATAACAGTAACTTTACCCTCTTATCTCTTGTAACAAGCTGTGCAAATATATATATAGTAGTTTCTGTAATATGGAAAATAATAAAGTTTCAATGTCCTGGTTCTCAACCTGATTTACTAAGGGGGGAGCATTCTATTGCTTCATAAACATTTTCAACTTTTGAAAGATTTAGAATATCAAATTCACAATTCTTGTTTTAAATAATGGACAACTGTTGATAAAACAGAGCAAAAATAAATATTGAACAAAATACATTTCTTCTATCTTTTAACCACCACTCAAATTAAAACTAATTTATTTCCCATCTTCTGGTGTTTCTACTTTTGTATTTCACTCGTACATAATTTTCTGCTCATCAAATAAGCAGAGGAGCACTTCCTGCTGGTCGGACCACTTTTTAAAAGTCTTTGATTACGTTTTGGATCTTCCACCTCTGGCCGGTGCATTCCCGAATTAGAAGTACACCATTATCAATTTCTAGACATCTTTTTGACTCCTTGTTCTTAATTTCTTTGCCCTGAAATTAGAGATTAAATGTAATTATTATTTTATTTCATATGTCATGATTATATTAACAATCTCTAGTTTTTTGTATTACCTGACTGAATTCCCAGTATATGCCCATTCTTTTCTGCATTGCCTCTTTGCAGTTGTACAGGCCAGGCTCGGTGTTTTTCTGCCCTTGGTCGGCTATACACCGGTTATCGTTGTACTTGTGGGACTTAATACCGCCGACGTAGAGTTCACCATTCCCACGAAAATATACGATCTTGAATAAGAAGAACAAAAGCAGACAGAGACATTTTATAAACTACCAACAACAGGGACACAAAACTTCAGCTCATGAACGAGACTCTGTTTCAAACCTGCTTCTCTTACCTGTGAACCATAGTAATAGCAGTTGTAGGCGATGGGTGTGTGACCTGGTACTGGACCTTGGTCTACGCACATGTTGGTGTCGAGATTTTTCAGCTGCCCATAAAAAAACAAACAATGATAAGAAGGAGTCTGTTTAAAAAAATGCATGAATACGTATGCAGCAGTAATGATTCTTCTGCCATGAATAAGATCAAACTTACTCCTCCATAAGCAAGCAGGTTGTCCCAGGGGTCCAGCTTAGGATAAACATTATCCAGGTACCATTTGAAAGGTTTACACTTCAGCCTTTCTCTGAGTTGCTTCCTCTCAGTGACATCTCCAATGTCAATGCCATGATTCTGCAGAGACAAATTATAATATGGGCTGATTTGTTGGATGTGTCCTTTCAAAGGGGACATATCATGGAAAATCAACCTTTTTAGCTGTTAAATTAAGTTTTGTTAGGTTGGCGTCTCTAGGAGTGGAGACAATCTGAATTTAGTCACGCCTGGTGCTGCGTAAATATCTTTATATTCTTTTTTTCCTCCGTTTTCTATGACGTTTTCTGAACTACAGAGTCAGAATTTGCGATAGAACTGCTAAATAACTCAGATTTAACAACTACAATTTTGTCATCTTCATTCTCCTCTGGCTCAGAGTCTTGGCTCCAATACATATAACGAAAGTTACAACTGTAACTACGGTTCTATGAATCCCGGATGACCGCCAGAGGCGGTGCTTCAAGCACTGAATGATCATTCTTGCGCATGCGCAGGTCGAGAATTCATACCAACAACGTCACCTGTGACCTGCCGGTGACCCACATGACTCTATAAAGTCACGTGACAGCCGGCGCTCAATCCCTCAACCTTCTCGCGTTCCAAGGATTCCGAGGGACCGAGCGCTCTGGCGGTCATCCGGGATTCATAGAACCGTAGTTACAGTTGTAACTTTCATTCTATTTCATCCCTACTGACCGCCAGAGGCAGTACTTCAAGCACTGGATGACTTATGTCAAAAAAGTCACGAGGAATCTGCAAAACCCACAACACCACTTACCTCACTGGGATACAGGAGGAAGCTGCTGCAGGATATTTTGCAGAGGATGGGGCACTGCCACATTCACTCTGTAGAACCGAGCAAATGTGCTGGGTGATGTCCAGGAGGCCGCACTGCATATGATGTCCAGCGGCACTCCAGTCATGGCAGCCCACGAGGTCTTCAGACCCCTTGTAGAATGACACTTCACACCGACCGGAAGTGATTGACCCATTGAGGTGTAAGCCTTATTAATTAGCCCCACGACCCAGTGCGAGAGTCGTTGCTTAGAAAGGGCCTGCCCTTTCCGAGGGCCTGCAWAACAGACAAAAAGGTTATTTGTCTTTCGGAAAGGCGCTGTGGATCTGACATACGCCTCCAGCGCACGAACGGGGMACAGAGGCTCCGAGGGGGTCCYAGAGTTAAAACGGGCAAGCTGAAGCGGCTGTGTACTGCCTGTCGCTGATGCCACTTTAGGGACAAAAGAGACATCAGGCCACAGTGTCACACCTGAGCCATCAGAGTTCCACCGACAGCATGGCTCGACTACAGATAGAGCCTGCAATTCGCCCACGCATTTTGCAGAAGCCACTTCCAAGAGGAAGGCTGTCTTTAATGAAAGCCATTTGAGGTCCACTGCCATTAGAGGTTCAAATGGGGGTGACCTGAGGGCCTCAAGCACCAGGTCTCAAGCTGGTGCCATGGGCCGACTTGGTGGATGCAGGTGCCTAGCACCTTTTAAAAATTGAACGATGTCTTTGTCCCAGCCCACTGAACAGCCATTAAACCCCACATGCCAACAGGAAATAGCAGCCATATATACTTTTAAGGCAGACAGGGAGCGTCCCTTATTTAGTAATTCTTGCAGGAAGGTCAGCATGTCAGAAACTGAACACCGTACAGGGTCCTGCTCTTTAA